AAACACTATTGTCACATACATAAACGCTACTGATAGAGCTTCCTGTCTGGTGAATGAATTGCTAGAAGAGAATAATACATTATTGTTATAAAATCATGCTAACTAGTGTAAATACAGAAAACTAATAAATCATTCCTTGTAATTTTTAATTCGAATTATTTCATTAATATCTCATTATTTTTGTCAACTTTAGTAACTACATTATATACCTGCGGCTAAGACTGGAAAGGAGACTTGTCAGGAATAAAATCAATTATGTAGACAACATAAATAGAATAATATATTTACAGCTAAACAGTTTTTATTTTGTTCACTGATCGTTTATATTCAATGCAAGTCACAAAAATTTGTTCAATGTTTCAGTTACACTGGAATGGTCAAAGTCCGTTTGTTTTCTGCGATTTAATAAAATTTGCGGTTTTTATTTATATATTATGCTGCGCATTAGCCTAGTCTCCCTTAGAACTGATTGAATTAAATCCGCGTTAACTAATTCGGTTCAATTTAATTCGGAATTGAACCACTTTCTGTCCACACTGTAATTCCCAAAAGTTGTCTTGGACTGGATTTGAACAAAATAGCTGTGTCAACACCCATTGAACTTGACTCGAGTCAGTCTTTAATATGTGCAGTGAAAATGGTGGAAATGTGGATGGCCCAATTATGTCACAAATGAAAAACTGCAATAACCAGTCCATGATTTCTAATGTCAAATTATATTCACAGCCTGGGATGAAAGAGAACTACTGCCAGCGTGATTCATTTTTGTTTTGTTTCTAATGTTGAAGAAAAATATTGCACGAATAGAATTGAATTCGGTTTACTTTCCTTCATTGGAGGGATGAATCACATTATTTAACCAGGATTAAATAATTCAGACATAATTAGCTCTAGTGGGGACAGCTATACCGACCTCAATCTTAATTCATTTTGAATCGAAACGATATCGAATTTCTACAAAAAAGATGCCAATTTTGGCCCAAAAATGAAATCAGCTTGCCAAATTCTTCCCAAATACGTAAACTTTAACCACATTTTCTGCATATTTTCAAATTTTCTGCCCAAAAATAACAACACATTTATGATATCATATTTTAAATCACACATAAATCACGCTTAAATTGTTCATTAACTATATTTTAGGGAATATACAATCAACAATATAACAATCTGTCTCAATGCTCGCCAAATATCAAGCACATAAGGAAATCAGTTTTTGAGATAACACGATTTGAGCTTTTATCAACTGAATTTAAACATTAACAACTACTACCCTCGGAGTTCACATTAACACTGGACAGGCTACGTTTGTGTGATGCATAGAAGTTGAAGTATGGTATACAGGGAAAAACATGGTATGGCTGACTAGTGCTACCTGTATGGTCGGTCATCTGTGAGTTGCATGTTATGAATTTTGATATCTTCAATAGTGATTGTTTGTCACTGTTGTAGTGATAACATTTATTTTAGTGTAATGCAATCTGTTCAGTTCACGAGTGCACGACTCTTTCTTTTTTCTGACCTGAGAAATCTAGGAAATTGTGTACCCACAACCCAATGACATGGTATAAGGTTAAGACATCAACAATGTCCGGATTATGAGTCACCACCACCTAGAAATGCCATCAAAACCATGAGTTCTTAATGGCAGTCACAGAGGTTCAGGGCCACATAAATGCTCTTGCATTACTTGCTAGTGTACACCAAATCAGTGTTCTTATTATTTCCCTCTTTCCTTTATATTAATTAGCATACTTCAAAAGGCCCATAAAATAAATTTTGTCCCAGAGAATTGACTATTTCAATTTATTGCTCGTTGGCTGCACCTGATGAAAGAAGACATAACATGTCTTCAGCTGCCATAGAAATATGTGCATTGTGCATAGGCTTATTTTTCTTAAAATGGCAGAAGAGTCAAACCAGACTCTATTGAACTTCCAGACGTGAGAGTTTTCAAGAAAAGCTTGTAGTAAATCACCATATTTGAACAATTGTGTCCACACCAGGAAGCGAAATCATCAAAACCTTGCAAAATGTAGTCACACAATGGGTATAGATGACAAGATTATGGGTATATAGGCATTGTTATTTTAGTGGAAAAGACATGACAACGCAGTGATTAAACAGTGTAAAACTTTACAAAAAGCCTAAATTGCTCACAATTTGTTTCAGATCTGACAGTATTTTTGGCAAATTGTCTGTTATTTTGACGTGTATTCAAAACATCACAAAGTATGACTTATATTGTTACAATTACAGTATCCATCAAATTAAACTCTCTATTTTAATGTTTCTATTCATGAACTAAGAGGCTAAAATGCATTCTCATTTATGTGTAAGTAAGTAAATGGGATATTTTTAGAAGACAGAATGCAGATTTTGAATGACAGAGACAAGCAAAATAAAGTAAATTTACCGTTTTTCTTTGAATCTGCACCTCTTCTTTACTGTGTATGCCACTATCACCATTACCTTCACCACCATCGTCATCACCATGTTCTTCACCATCACTGGGGTCGTTACCAAGGTCTTCCCCATCACTCTGGACATCAGCTGTATTTTGCCCATCAGCATCTGACTTTTGCTGTCAGAAAACAGTAAATTCAAATTATAAATATTCTAGTATCATCTGTTGTCTCTGACCATGTTAAACACATGTTCATCATTTCACCTGAGTTGTGCCAAATTTTGCCCATCTGTACCGTCCATGAGTTTGTCCTATTATTCTATTATCTTGAAGATAATCACTGTTGTTATCAATCAAAAACAAACGGCGGTTAAAAACTCATGCCCGCTGAAGATATTTTTTCATAATTTGGATAGTGCATTGACCAATGATGCCACACAAATAAATTGGAAATCCTGCAACCTTGGAACAATGTGAAAATGTTCACTTCCGTATGTTCAATCTAAAATGACCGACAAAATAATTGGCAGACAAAAACTTATCCTCATACAAAGTTTCTAAACTTTGTGCTGAAATTCTAAAGGAATATCCATAATGCACCATTATCAGTACATGAAGTTTCAGTGCAGCAGCTCGTTTGAACTAAAACCTACTGAGTGAAAGGAAATACAATGTTTCAAAACAAGATATCTGCCAAGCCAAGAGGTTGATCTCAATTTTGAAACGACATGATGAAAAAAGTTATGAAAGAAAAAAAAATTAAAGCTGCAAGCTGCATCAACTGCTGAATGTGATAGACAACACCTGACAATATTTCAGTAATTTGCTTGCATGGATATTAATATGAAATAATACAGGAAGCGTATCAATACTTAAACTCACTATTTCTGATAATGAACTAAGGGGTAAAATGTACCTCATTTCTGTGTAAGTAAATGGGATTTTTTTAGAAGACAGAACGTAGATTTCGAGAAAAGCAAAGTAAAGTACACAGAAATCTAAAATTACCGTTTTTCTTTGAATCTGCACTTCTTTTTTACTTAGTGTACCACTAGTACCATTACCATTACCGTCACCACCATCTTTGTCATCACCATGTTCTTTAACATCACTGTGGTCATCACCATGTTCTTCGCCATCACTCTGGACATCAGCTGTTCCTTGCTCATCAGCATCTGACTTTCCCTTGTGCTTTCACAGTCAGAACAAACATTCAAATCATAGTTATTGTGGCGATGTTTTTATTTTGCAGTGCATTTTTTTTATTATGCAGACGAACATGGCCAAAGAAGATTCTCGTGTCTTTTGTTTTTGACCATGATTGACCACGTTTCTGTTAAACACGATCAACCATAGTCACTATTTTGCCTGGGTTGTTTAATTTTTCCAATGTATCTGTCCATAAAGTTTTCTTCCCATTACACCAAAAATAATTACTGGTTTTTAAATCCAAATGGCGGCAAGACAAACCCTGACCACCGAAGATATTTTTCACGATTTGGAAAGTGAATTGGCCAATCATGCTACACAAATAAATCGGGATTTCTGCATCCTTGGAACATTGCGAAAATGTTCACTTTCGTTTTTTTTTTTAAATCCGAAATGGCGGACAAACTAATTGACAGACAAGCACTTATACTCAAAACCTTTGCTGCAATTCTAAAGGAATACCCATAATGCATCATAATCAGATCCTTCTACTCGACTCAATATTCGTTGTTGCATAGTATATGAAATTACACAACTAGTTTCATGTCCCCAGCTTGTTTGAACTAAAACCTGCCAAGTGAGAGGCAATACAATATTTCAAAGGAAGATATCTGCCAAACCAAGTAGTTGATTTGAATATTGAAATGACATAATGAAAAAGCTGTTGCAAGTTGCATCAGTAGAGCCCAAGCTTGCAGGCATAATTATTGAGGTCACGTGATCACTTATTTGGTGACCAAATATGATTTTTAGATTATATAATGAGCCATATGTTATTGCATATTAATGAGGTCACATGATTATATATGTTAGTCAGTATCATTTGTTCATTGCTTTCATTATGACATTGGTTGTATGTGCTAGGCTATACAGTGTTTCAGATTATTATGCATATTAATGAGTTTACATTTCTATATATAGTTATCTTTTAGTTCAGTCATATCTCTTGCTATATGATCAGTGCTTGAGATATTACAGTCATGCATATTGATGAGGTCAGAGACCGCTACCCCAATGTCCCCAAACTATGTGAAATGATCATTTCATCTGTTATGTAATCGCATCTCTTGTCCACTGCCTTCATAATGGCATTGGTTGCAAATCCAATATCTGCAACAGTGCTTGAGATGTTACAATTATGCATATCAATGAGGTCAGATGACCATAGGTGCCAAACCACGTGTCCTAGCCATGTGATTATTAGGGATGAATGCATCTTCAGAGTGGAAACACCACAAAATGAAAACTGGCGGTCGAACCATGCGACAAATTAATGTATTTTTCCTGTAAGTAGCCAAGGCCATAGCTATCAAGAAAAGAATTTTCATTTTTTTTCATTTCTTTTTTAAAGAAAAAATATTGCGGAAATGTCACGTGACCGAATATTTCTATTGCACGAATTCTACTATATGCCATAGAAATTCAGATTCTCGGAAACTTGTCACTTCTGTTTTAAACTCAATCCAATATAGCTGCCAAACCAGTGGACCAATTACAATTTTGAAGGTATGGTGAATAGTTCACATTAGCCCCTATCAGCATGAACACTTTGTGAAGATTCTTTACTTGTGTGAGTTTCTCACATAAACAAGCAAAAAACGAGGGAAGAAGAGGGTAAAGCAGAAACAGAAGAAAATCAGAATGATTATAGGGCCCAAGCCCATATATTAAATCAAAGTAGACATTTGAAGAAAGTAGACAAAGGTATAGACAGTCTCAACACTACATAATAGTGTTCATTTTGGTTCAATAAGAAATACTGGAATGGTGTAATGACAAAAGTGTCTGAGATTACCTAGCATACTCTGAACAACTAACACTAGCTAGATAACTAGCTAATACCTGACAACAATGTTTCTTTTAAATGAACTGAGGGGCTAAAATACATCCTTTTTTCTGTGTAGGTATATGGGAATGACAGACATGCAAAGTACACAGCAGTGTAAATTTACCGTTTTCCCCTGAATCTGCATCTTTTCTTTACTTAGTATGTCACTATCATCATTACCATCACCACCATCGTTGTCATCACCAAGGTCTTCACCATCACCAGGGTCATCACCATGTTCTTCGCCATCACTCTGGATGTACTGTACCTGCCCATCAGCATCGGACTTTCTCTTGTCCTTTTGCTGTCAGAAAACAGAAAATCATAGTTATTGTGGCGATGTTTTTATTGGGCAGATGAATAGTTGAAAAATGGTTGAAGAAGATTATAGTGTTGTCTGGTGTCTGACCATGTGTCGACCGTGTTTCTGTGTTTCATGCTCAACTAATGGTCAACATTTCACCTGTGTTGTTTATCAATCTTGCCCATGACTTTTCATATCCTATTATCCCAAAAATAACAACTGTTTATTAAAATCCAAAACTTCCTTTTTTAATTCAAGATAGCGAGCAAAGTAATTGACAGACAAGCACTTAAACTGTACCCACAATGCAGACTTAGTACATGAAATTGCACAACCAGTTCAACGCCTTCATTATGACATTGGTTGCATGTGCCAGGCTGCAAAGTGTTTTAGATTTGAAAGTTGTGCATCTTAATGAGTTCACATTGTCATATATTGTTATCTTTTAGTTCAGTCATATGTCATATGATCAGTGATTGAGATATTACTATTAGGTAACAGACCGCCACCACAATCAATGATCATTTCTGGCCATCTGTTATTTAATTGTGCTGGATTGAGATATTACAATTATGTATATTAATGGGGTCAGATTACCCCATCACACGGGTGCCGAAACACGTGACCTAGTCATGTGATTTGTGGGTATGAATGCATCTCCAATGTAGAATTCACATGCAAAATTTCAGACCAATAAATCAAACGCTACTCAAGCTATTGTACAATTTCCGACAAGCTGATTTTATGAAAAATGCAAACCTGTATTCCTACAAATTCTATTAGTACGGAACACAGTGCTGAATATGAGTTTTTACAGTGTTTTTCTTTGGAACATTGTTTTACTAAAAACAATTGTATTTTTTATGTACAACGTCTTATAAAGACTTTAAGACTGAAATGAGATATGTTGGTGAAGCATTCAATCTAAGGTTGGTCGCAAGGTTGTAAGACTAATGGGTCATTCGATTTAAAGTAGAAAAAGTAGTAGTAGTAGTGTTATTTCGTAAATAAGTGCGAAATTGGATAGATTTATTCCCAGTTATGTGACCTGATGTCAACTCATTGTATTGTATTGTCACCTGAACACCAAAGCGATATGTTCAGAGGAATCTGATGGCATCGCTATAAATAAATGAAGGTGTGAGTTGTTGGTAGGTACTATTAGCTCTTAGCTCTTGAATATAAAAGCAAATTTAGAATGAATGTTGATGTCAAGCAAAGTCAATGGCAGCATAAGAAGATCATGTGGTGGGGGCTACTGTAGCATTACCAAAATCTAATCCACGAATTCATACAGATGGCACAAGGTATTTTTCAGATGATTTCATTTCAATACCTGAAGTAAAACAATGACGATAGTCAAAGGGTCAATTTGTATTCAATGTTATGTTGTCTTGAAATATATGGTTGTCCAACAAGACAATCACTTTTATCACGATTGTCGATCAATAAAAAATACTGTAAACTTGAGTTTGAACCAAACAAATTCTGATATGAAAAACAAAGAACATGTAATTAAACTCTTGGAATCCCAAACTATTATCCATAAAATCTGGCACCAGCCACACTGCAGACACGTTCTGACGTATGTTATAACCTAAATTGCTTTCTAATGATCGATTATGAATGTGTGACATAGGAGGCACATATGCCTTTTTGACATTATCACTTTACAGTAGCATCTGATGTTAGGGGTTAAAAACAAACTTAAAACGGGACACAGCATAACAATTGATATAATAAGAAGTCATCAAAATGGTTTGTAAAGAGACTAATTAGGTTCCTAAGAATCTGAGTTTAGAGTGAAACCAAGTGTAATATTGTCAGTTATTATGATCATAATCAGATAGATACCTGCAGCAACCAAAAAATGTTCATATGATCGCTACTGAGGTCACTGTATATGAAATATAATAGGAATTGTGTGAAACTGTTGTGAAACTTTTTTTCAAAAATCGTTATGTTAGAGAAGAATTACATTTGTTGACTTTTTAAATAATTCAGGACAACAAAAAACACATTAGTCACAATACATTTGTTTTCAGCAGATGTAACCAGCCTACAATTTGACATATTATGGAATAATGTGTCTGCCATGGGAACATATGGTAAACGTGTTATAATACTGATAACATTGCCAATACCCACTAAAATACAACCATTATTTTCTCAACAACTTGGCTTAGTCCCAAAATCTAATCACGTCTGGGGCTCATGATATAGTATATGTGTACCCAGTTTTATTTCAATCCAGCCAATGCATCTTGAGAACAGGATCAGTGGAACAAGATTTAACATAGACACACACACGCACAGACTCATGAACGAACGGGCAGACATCCATCAGTATGACATTACCTCCCGCTTTTCTTTAAAGATATGGAAGCTAATACAGAAGATAAAGCTATTGACAAACCATATTATTATTTTTGTTTTACCTTTTTGCGTTGTGTCTTCTCTCCTTGATCATGGTCATCAGCAGCACTTTTATCAACATCAGATTTAGCCTTCTCCGACTCCTTTTTCTCGTCATTGATTTTTTCTTCCATGCTTTTAACTCTGTGTTTTAGTTCATCTACGTCACTTGCACGTGCCTTTTTTTCATCTACTAGTAGCTGTTTTGTCAACTGATGACTAACTTCAGCTTTCATTAGTTCGCTTTTATGCACGTTATTCAGTTCTTTGATCTCGTTTTCAAATTCCGACAGCCTGGATTGCAAGTGTTTGATTTGATTTTCTTTCTTCTGCACTGTGGCATCCAACTCTTCTAACTTGGAGGTGAGTGACGACTTAACTTCCTCCGATTGGTTTTTCTCGATCTGTAGACAAGCTACTAGCTTGGACATCTTTTCCTCATACTGCATCCGTTCTGCCAGACGCTCCTTCATCTGTACCACAGCTTCAGTCTCCTCGCTTAATTGGTTTTGTAGTTTGGCACATTTCTCGTTTGTTGACTTCAGTAGCACTCTGCCTACCTCCATGATGTACGCAGCCACGTCCATGTATGATTCTGGTATATCATACAATTCTTGTGGAGATATCTTCCTGAGTGATGTGCGTTTCATATTTCTCTCTGCTTGTCGACCTGTCACAATTTCTTTGATATTCAGAATAGGTGGGTTCAGAAATTTGCAAACATCTGAGTAGAAACAATACACTGAGTGTTCAGAACAAACTCTATATCATATGCAAATGAGAGTGGAAGCATTCAGTTAATTGGGATTACATTGCATTATATAACATTACCTCTGGCAATGACATTAAGTATATATGAAATTGAGATTTGGACCCAGTTGCCACGAAAACGGATATATTACTGTTTTTAATGAAATGTACTAGTAATTGGCAAATGATAGTAACACTTAACAATGTA